GGTCCCACGCTTCTCGGGCAGCAGGGCAGCGCCGTGCTCGGCAATCGGGAACACGGAAATCCACGAGTAGGTAGGTAGTCCCGGCGCTGTGCTGTCGCCGGCTTGCGCAAGCTCGACCGAAGAATCCCGAAATAAAACTGCGAAACGATGATCTACGTGAAGCGCTCAACAGGCTCACTCCCACGTCGTCAAGCAGCAGGAGAAGGAAGACCCGATGTCCCCTTCCAAGTGCTCGGGGGTCCCAACACGGAGCACTTGTTACAGCCACCTTAGAGACCGCTTCTCTCAGCAATCCACTGCTGTGTTCCAGTACACTGCTTTCTTCAGTGGACACATCCTTCACTTCCTTCACGTTCCATAATACCTTTACCATAAACTGATATGCAAACACACACGCACACAGAGTGTGTCGCCGACACACACCTCGCACTGCGTCTCACGAAAGACACATCGCACTGTGCTCCCGAAAAGGACAGTGCACCCCGAAACACACTTTAGATTTCACTCCCCGACGCAAAAACCACCGTGGCCCGCCCGACACGCACACGGCTCGGCGCCCGACGGCGCGCACATCGCGCCGCTCGTCCGCTACACGCACATCGCGCCGCGCCGAAGGAAACCCCCATCGCTCTGCTTCGCCTGAGAAAAACGGCGCTCTACGATCAGACGATGCACAGATCGTCCTGCCTACGATGACACACACATCGCTCCGCTCCTCCCCGACACACACGTCGCTCAGCGCTGACCGACACACACACACAACCCGCCTCGCTCCCCGAAGACACCCCCATCGCTCTGCTTCGCCTGAGAAAAACGGCGCTCTACGATCAGACGATGCACAGATCGTCCTGCCTACGATGACACACACATCGCTCCGCTCCTCCCCGACACACACGTCGCTCAGCGCTGACCGACACACACACACAACCCGCTTCGCTCCCCGAAGACACCCCCATCGCTCTGCTTCGCCTGAGAAAAACGGCGCTCTACGATCAGACGATGCACAGATCGTCCTGCCTACGATGACACACACATCGCTCCGCTCCTCCCCGACACACACGTCGCTCAGCGCTGACCGACACACACACACAACCCGCTTCGCTCCCCGAAGACACCCCCATCGCTCTGCTTCGCCTGAGAAAAACGGCGCTCTACGATCAGACGATGCACAGATCGTCCTGCCTACGATGACACACACATCGCTCCGCTCCTCCCCGACACACACGTCGCTCAGCGCTGACCGACACACACACACAACCCGCTTCGCTCCCCGAAGACACCCCCATCGCTCTGCTTCGCCTGAGAAAAACGGCGCTCTACGATCAGACGATGCACAGATCGTCCTGCCTACGATGACACACACATCGCTCCGCTCCTCCCCGACACACACGTCGCTCAGCGCTGACCGACACACACACACACCCCGCTTCGCTCCCCGAAGACACTCCCACCGCTCTGCGATCCGACGATGCACACATCGCCCTGCCTACCATAGTCCCATCCCTATGCGTCTCCCCAAACACACATCGCCCTGCATCGTCGTCGCCCACCTCCTTCCCGAAACACATCGCTCTGCGCCGACACACACACACACCCCGCTTCGCTCTCCGAGACACCCCCATCGCTCTGCTTCGCCTGAGAAAATCGGCGCCCCAAGATCAGACGATGCACAGATCGTCCTGCCTACGATGACACACACATCGCTCCGCTCCTCCCCGACACACACGTCGCTCAGCGCTGACCGACACACAGACACACACCGCTTCGCTCCCCGCAGACACTCCCACCGCTCCGCGATCCGACGATGCAC